GCATGCTCTGCTATCATGGGGACAAGTGGTGGGACATACCCCAAAAAGCTGCTGGGCATGGGGGCCGCCGTGCTGGGTACTCCATGCCCAGGGCAAAGCCCAGTCCGGTGCCCTCACGCACATTTTGGAGATGCTTGTGAAGGTCATGGCTGGCCTCAGAATCTCCTCCCGCACCACTCCCCCTCCTTTCATCTTCATTCCCACTGTCATTGCCATCACTGAGTGCCCGCCCGAGGGTGGTCTTGGGCAGGTACCGGGTCCCCGGTGATCCCAGCACATGGCACTTGCTTTGGAGACCTTGGGAAGCCCGAGGAGGGAGAAGGATCACCCTGCAACAGCCCATCGTCCAACCCTCCCCTCCTCCACACCAGAACGGCCCTGTTTTGGTTTGCCTGCCTCAAAACATATCACGATTTTACCATTTTTAACCCATTTCTCTCTCCAGAAGGCAAGACAAGTGTGCATCTTTTGCCTCAAATGAGCAGACGACCTTGCCTGAATAAAGGAAGATGAAACGTGCTTTAAAAGACTCAGAAAATTAATATTTTTGACCTTGTGAAAATTCACCTCTGGCAAAGTCTTGGTCAGATAAAGCCACTCATCGCTGCAAAACCCCGCAAAAACATAACATTGCAATCCAATGAGTTCCTTTCCATCTCCCCATACTTTTGGGTTTCTCAGAGTCCCATCTTTAGAAACAAAACCTTGCAAAGACCCAGCAACACCAGCCCAAACCGAGTCCCTGGAAGAGAACCGCTGGCTGATGGGACGCAGGAGACAGCTGGGCAGTTTGCATGGAGGAACACCACAGATCTTCCCGTACCAAGGCTCAATCCCTCCTCCCAGCATTTGAACCTTGGTTTCAACAGAGGGTTTTGATAGAGAAGACAAGAGCTTTCTCATGGGTCCCTTCTGGAGAGCATCTCCGGAGCCCCTCCTCTGGAGCCCATCTCAGCCATTGAGCAAAAATCATCCAAACAAAGGGGGGGGGGGGGGGAAGTTTAAGGCATTGCCCCGTACACTACTATTCCTAATTCCTCTTGTAAAAGAAAGCTGCCATGTGCTAATGCCTACAAAGCAAGTGCATTCTTATCCCCTTCCTCCAAATGCAGCTGTGACATGGAAAACATTGTGAGACCCATGGTAAACGTGGGGGAAAAAAAATAAAAATAAAATCCCAACACCTCTTCCTTCCCACAGGAACCGATTTGTCCCTTCTTCTCAAGTGTTTTAAGAGCTGGGCCTTCGGAAGCGAGTGTTCAGAGGTCCTTAAAAACTGTTTCCCGTCCATCGCCTGTAATTATGCCCACAGCACATCCTCCAATTGTGGGACACTTAACCCAGGCTGGGGAGACGAGCTGGAAGCTGGAGAATTAGGGGATTAAATAACGCCAGACACACACGTGGCTCGTTTCCTCTCTCCCGTTAACGCGGATGCCGTACGCTCTGTCCTGGACCACGACTTCAGGCTGCCGCAAAGGCAAAACCCCTTCAAGAGTCCCCGGGGCTTTGCATGGCTGCTTTTCTAGAAACAAAACTGTCGAAAAATTCAGTCACCTGCACCGAAAACCGCTTTTCTGTAGCTGGAACAGTGTCTTTTCTAAACCAAATTAGCTTTCAGGGCTGTCAAGAACTACAACAGCTTAAAATGCAGGATTTTAAATGGGTTTGGGGTTTGTTTTTAGCCACGGGATAGGAACAAGCTGGCATTCCCGCAGTTAAGTAAAATAAAATGGTCCAAAAAACACTGGAGGGTAACAAAAGCTGAACAACCTCTCCCGCAGCACACTATTTTCACCTACAAAGACGTAATAGCTACAGCTGGATATAGTCGTAAGGTTATTTAAGCAGAGTTTTGCTGGTGGGGGGTGGGGGTGGGCATGGATGAGGGCTTTCCAAGAGCAGCCACCCGTTATCAGCTGCTGCGACAAGGCAGCAGAAAGCCGGCAGCAGGTTTCCTCCCACAGGTAGCCAGAAGAAACGGGCTCAAGGAGAGCCACAAGCTAATTGGGCTTCATGAAAAGACCCGAATCCTTAAAACAAGCATTCACGAGGAGGAAAAAGCACCAAAGATGGATCGTCCTTGGCTCTAGAAACCTTGAATTCAAGGGAGAGGTCGGTGCCTAGGAAGACTCCCCCTCTGGAACATCCCATGGAGATGCCTCGAGTCCCATCAGCATCTTCTCCGCTGACCTGCAGCTACAGCGAGGCAGATTTGTTCCACACAAGCTCTTCAGAAAACACCAAAAACCTGAGTCTGTGCATTGAGACATACCGAGACACATGTTCCAGTCCCATCCTCCTCTCTACTGACTCAACACATCTTCTCCAAAGCCAAAGTCTGGTGGCCTTTTAGCTTCCTAAAGGGGATGAGCAATCATTAGCTTCCCAGTGGGCAAATCCCGTTAAAAAGAAAAAGAAAAAGCCCATCAGTCCCTACAGGCCGTTTCAATGATCAGGTCAATAGGTAAATGGGTCTTGAAATGGAGAAGATATTCCCCCTGCAGGCACTGGCTGGCAGTCAGGAACGGGAAAAAGCAGGACCACCGTTGGGACAGGAGAACGACAGCAGGAGAAGCTGCACCAGCGCTGCCCTTCTCACTCGGAACAGGCAGCAGATGGAAAAATTACAGGCAGAAATTCACCATTCTCGCTTGTTGGTATTTTCCCCCACTCAAGAAAAATAAAATAAAGAAAAAAATAAAGCCCCCTTCCTTAGGCTGGAGTTCAAAGTAGGAAAAAAAGCTCTTGGAAAAACCTGCTTCCTCCACACATCTAGAGAGCACCAGCAAGAATTTAGCTGAGCTCAGCAGTTTCACATACCTTTCTCACATGACTGAGGATGGTTATTTTCATGAAAAACAATCTCCAGAGCCCCTTCCTTAGGCTGGAGTTCAAAGTAGGAAAAAAAGCTCTTGGAAAAACCTGCTTCCTCCACACATCTAGAGAGCACCAGCAAGAATTTAGCTGAGCTCAGCAGTTTCACATACCTTTCTCACATGACTGAGGATGGTTATTTTCATGAAAAACAATCTCCAGAGCAAGAAGCAAGTTATAAAAATAGGGGGGAAAAAAAAAACCCGCAGCTGTACAAATCCCTGGGAGCAGGCACTGGCAGGCAACCGCTCTGCTTGGATGTAAATCGCGCTGAAAGCCAAGGCTTTTCTTCAGGCACCACTTCGAAAACGTTAATTAGAGATGAAGATCCTCAGTTTTCAGCCATCCCAGTTTTAAGCGGTTCGTTGCTGGCGCAGTCAGAAGAACTGTGCTCGGCTTTACGGTGAATTCACTGCAACCAAACAGCAGCCCCAGAAGGGAGAAATCACTGCCCTCGAAAAAAAAAAAAAAGAGGATCCAAAAAGATGGGGCTGGGTTTTAGTCCAGGCTGGGTAGATGCAAGGGATGAGCAAGTTCACACAAGACTCAATAGGACTTTTCGAGCAAGGACTAGCCGCTTTCCACCGGTGGAAAGCGCATCCAGCCAGAGCCCTGCTCGCCTTCGAGCACCGATCACCAGCGAGTTCCACCAAGCACCTTCCCCCTCCTCTCACCAACTTTTCCCCCTCCCCATCAATTAAATGCAAAACTCACTTAAATGCAGAGTTAGAGATCATCGGTTTAAATGCATAAAGGGTCAATTATATATAAAGACAAAGATACTACAACAAATTAATTAACCTGAAGAGACAGTGCTTTGTGCAAAACAACATTCTCACGTCTGGTTGAAAAGGCTTCTGAAGACGAGTGGTTTCTTCATTTCCCTTTGCCAGTGGTATGAGCAAAGCTTGTACAACATGCAAGAAAGGGGAAGAGATGATTTCCCAACAACAGATAGGAAACGCGCGACACGGTGAGTCCTCGACATTCACAACCGAGACAGAAACTTCACCTGGATTTCAACTGAACCGCTCTCAAAGTAAATTCATTTACATGTCCCTGGTTTTTTAGCTAGGCTGACACGCCACAGCATTTCTGTACGTTTCCATGAAAAACACGAGCGAGTCTCCGCAGCCTCCCAACAGGCACCATCCATATCATCGCCAGTCGGAGGCGAGCTGGTGACTCCCGGCGTCCTCCCCCTCTTCGGCTCTGCCGGTCAAACGCTGCTCCGCGGGGATGGCGCAGAACCGGGAGCAGCGGCTTCCAAGCAGGCACCAGGACATCAGATTCCCCGCATCTCCTCTGCCATAATGTTTCTCTGCAGGATACTGGATGATATTCACGGTGCAAAAATAAAGCAGTCTCGTTCGGAACAGTTACTGGAACATCATCCTATTGCCACGATCGCAGTTTACTGGCCCATCAGTCCCACCCCAGTCACTACCAAAAGACTACCTTACAGCAAACAAGCAGTGGAAGACGCGACTCTAACGAACTAGGCTGGGCTCGGCTTTGCTCCCTTCGCAAGAAGAGCAAGGGATGTCTCTTCCACAGCGGGCGAGAAAGGCGTTTCAGAGCTGCTCTCCTCCCATCGGTGATCTGGAGCATTTTGCAGGAGGCATTACCTTCTGCCAGCAGCACGCGGCGGCAAGGCAAGTTTGTAGTTATCACCAGGCTGGTACAGACACTGATGAGTAATCGAATTTTAAAATAAACAAGACAGGCGAGTTTGGCATAAAACGATATCCATCATAATTAAAGCATTCGTAAGAAGCTTAATTACAAACAAATACATTCTGGTAATCTCATTAAGACATCTAAATGTGTACTCTTTTCAGCTACTCTTGTCTTGGAAGGCATAAATTCATGACGGGAAAGGGGGGGGAAAAAAACAAATGTTTTTTAAAAGTTTATTTCTAGCCCTGAAAGAACAGTTATTAAACAAAGTCAACAAATACAGTAGTTAATATTGCAGTAACAATTAAATAACATAATGGGATTAAATTACACAAAAGGCAACATTAAAATCTGAAGACAGTTAAAAATAAAAAAAGAAAGCTTGCACCTACTTCCATTTCCATTGACAGCGTGAGGAACAGAGGGAAAAACGACCCAGAGACGTTGATTTATTCCACTCTAGCTGGAGAGACCTTGACCATGCTCCTGGCTCCCTCCCCAGCCTCTCCAGCCACAACTTTCACACCTCCCTCCGCCACACAGCTGGGAGGGGGGAAGCCTACAATTAATGTTGTTAACACTCAAGGCAGGTCAAAGCGCGCATTCCCAGCACCATGGTTGCTTTTAATGAAAAAGTCTGGTTTATTCCATGATAACGAGAAAATCCCAGGAGTCGCCCATTCCCTGCACACTTGCAGCTCAGCCGTAAGCTGCCCAGCTCCATGTGCCCCACTGTACAGTACGCTCAGAGGTATCACACGCGTATTGGGTCAGAATCTGACTCAGGATCTTACTGAGACACAAAAGCACAGCACTGCAACCTTTTCCTGGCTCTCCTCCTCTGCCAGCTCCATCCCCGTTTTTTAGCAGCAGGCGTGGGGGGATGTGAGAAACCTGACCGAACAATAAAACTGCTGCAGGGCAGAAGGGGAGATGTGGCCACTTCTGAACTTCAGAGCTAAACACTGTTCCAGGTCACCCAGCAAGTGCCAAGATATGGTTTTGATAACTTCTGGATTGGGCCAAGTTTCGTGTGCTACAACAGCTGAAAGTTTGGAAATAATCTCCTAAAGTACACTAAATTGGACAAATTTTGTAACACATGTTTTAAACCGTTCTCATTCATCAATAAAGTGAACTAATAAGTTAAAATTACTTATGATTTCTTGGTTTTCTATTTTAATAAAACCCTAAATTTATTGCAAGTTATCTTACTGTCTAGATTGTGCCATCAGAAAAAAAAAAAAAAGAAAGAAGAAAGAAAGAAAAGCTCCCAGTTTAACTCTGGCACAAGGAGTTTCACAAAGCCCATTGCCAGCAACGGACAAAGAGGGAATCATTGGTGTGACAGGTTATTTTTTTTCTGCCAAACCTTCTCGCTACTTCACTTGATCAGGGAGCCAGACGTGCTCAAACTGGGGCATTGCCATCACACAGTGTTTACAATGTCCATGGCTCGTACTACGTTTTGCCTGGGAAATGCATCTAGATTCACTTGCCTGGAACGAGACACTTCCTTAAATTTAAAAACCATACCTATTCCTACACTTACAGCTCGAGGGATTTATTCCTTTGATGGAGCAGTTAACATAATTGATCCGACATCAATTATTTACTACTGCGCTAGAGCAGAAGGCAAGCTGACCCGCGATACCGCCAAGGCATCTTGTTGGTACAACGCTATTTCCTAGAAGCTACCGAGTCGCAGCGGACGCTGCAAGACCCTCGCTCCGCTTCCCCTCCATCATCACCGCAAACAGCCGCCGCTGGTCCGGCCGGCCGCTCTCAGCTGGAAGTTGGTTTTGTCATACCTTGGCTACCAGTCCCCAAAACATAATCATCTCTATCACTATACAAATACCAAAATTATCTGAAAATGACATCTATCTTCTGCCAGCAACGTTTGTAAAAGTGTGCAAATAATTTTTATTCAGGGTCCTCCATCCATACCCAGCCATAACCTTATCTGTCCCAGGTCCCGCCCCGCTGGGAATACAGTAAAATCCCACTAAACTAAGTGTTATCCTTTCACCGAATCGTTTGGCACATCGTAACTACAGTTGGCTCTTCGTTAAACTGTCAGGGAAGTTGAAATGCATAGACTAGAAGAAGCCGGGGCACAGGCTCTTCTGCACTTGCCCCTGGTAACACCCCAAGAACTCAACTGCTCAAGTTTGCTCACTGTCCTTCAGAGAGGCACTTTTTTTTTTTTTTTGCATTAATGTTTGATTTCAGCCATTCCAGCTGGTACAATGTCTTTAGCGAGAAAGGATCGGTGGGACTCCCTCCGCACGTCTCCTCAGCTTCGAACCAGCCAGTCAGTCAAATAAGCCCCACGGATGTCTGACGGCACTGTTCTCCCCTCTCAGCTTTCCTCTTCTCAGAACAGCGCTTTGGCATTTCCAGGTGTGCATAAATCTTCTGTTTGAATCGTATTTAAAAAAATCCTGTATCTTCAGTGTCCTCAGATGTGATTATTTGTTCTTCTGATTTCATTAGTACAAATGGAGCACATACAAAACTGGAAAAAACAGCTCTAATACTTAAACTCTGACAACTCCTTAGGTTGATGCATTATTTGCTCGGGGGGGAAAAAAAAATTACAACATATACAAAAAAGTATTTGATACAAAGAAGGGTAACGTAAAATAAAAAAGTCAAAGGCACCAGCATAACTTCCGAAGCCCAAGTCAGAGCACAGATAGGATACATGTTTTTGAACCACCCAGCGCACCGAGCACATTATCCCTTAAGCTTCTGGCCAGCAAGTCTAACGGGAAAAAAAGAGCAGACAGGAAGACAGCTGGAATTTTTTTTCTTGCCCTGACTATAGCTGATCGTTTGATCATAAATAAAGTATCTGACCCCTACCTACATATCCATAAACCGACATCCAAAGACTTGACCGATCGCTAAGTTTCTACAAAGAGGCCACATCTTTGATTAAAAGTCCCCAGAGCACAGGCCTATGAGAAACAGCTGAATACTTCTCTTCCCCTTCTCTCCACATTCATCTTAAAAAGCAAAACACACCTCAATATGTTACGGTTTCTTAAGTAGCCAAGTTGTCAATTCTACAGTACAATAACAGCTAATCCATAAAAGAAATGAGGGGCAAGATGTACCTTCACATTTGTCACACTTGCCGTGAATCTGGTAATATGAGAGCTTACTAGTGTGGTTTAAAAGTAAACAGGCAGAGGGGAGGAAGAGAAGAGCGAAAGAGATCAGCAGGTAAAATTAGTACTGCTCTCCAAAAGCTTGAATCTGTCATTCAAGTATTGAAAGTACCCAGAAGGGTACGATGAATGGGAGCTGTGACAGCGAAGTCATTAAAAACCCTTAAAACCCCCGGGCACAGTAAGTGGCATTTCTGGGCTGTCTGCAACAACAACAAAGTTAAAAAAGGCCAGTAATTCAGTCCTCAATTCCTTCTGGACCCCAGACAGGGATCGCTAGAGTCACCGCAATTTATTTTGGGTGTCTTCCGGATGAGAGTGTCTTCCCTTTTGCAGACGTTTCCCACCCCCCCTCCCCCAAAAAATCCTTTCCCTCCCCCCAGAAGTGTAACAATTTCATATATTATAAAGATTTGTAAAATACAAACAAACAACAACAAAAAAAAAGGATGAAGGCTGTGGCAGTAATGTTAGCGGTTACTCTTCATTGCTTCTTTGGCTGCCAAGATCAGTGGCGTCAAGCTAGACAGAGGTTTGGCCAGTTTCAAGAAGGGATGCTGCCAGGAAGAGAGAAACACAGTAAATCAGTGAAAGACACAGTTTAAAAAGCCTGTAAAAGCCAAACATCTACACAGCCCTTTTCATCCTGAGGTACGAAAAGCAACGCAAACGCTATCAATGCCCAGCTCCCGAAGGGACAGATCCAGATCACCTCAAGCCTGATAATCACATCCTCCTCGCCCCTAAAGAGCTTTTCCTTTTCCAGTAATTCACTACACAGAGGTTTCCTGCTCAAACGTCTTCTCTCAGTGCCATTCTGCTCGCTTCAATGGCTCCATTACAGTAAGTTTGCAAATTGTTGGATGCGTTAGCAGTGGCAGAATGAAGATTACCAATTGAAAGACTTCAGAGTTTATATTAATAATCTTTGATGACTGTAGCTCCTACCAACTGCTCTCCACTGAAGTCCTCAAAAGAAAACACTAAGAAGACAGTGCCGGTCCACAGAGCGGTTTAATCACAGGCTGACCTCACTCGTGGCTTCTGTATCTCAGACTTGTGAGAAGCAGCTGATTCTCACCTGTAGCAATTCTTTGGCTGATCCTCTTTTCTCTACATCCATCTCCAAACATCGGTTCAAGAAATCACGGAATATTGGGGACAGTTTCTCGGGGTTCTGCAGCTCTGGCGTGCCATTAGTTGCTATCAAATATAAAGCCTGTAAAACGAGGAATATTGTATAACCAAGCCAAATTTTCAAACTGACCTGCCTGGCGGCAATCCCCTAGTCTAGATGAGAAAGGGCCCTGCAGCCTACTTCTCTCCCTGATGAGATGAAAAACTAAGAATGCCACAATTCTACGCAGTCATGACCTATTCTTGCTACTAGCAAAATAACATGCCAAATCTTTCGGCAACAGATACTTACCTTGGCAAAGAAAACATCAAATTCCGACACAAGCAGCATTTTTCACAACCTAACGGATTTACTTTCCCTAAACTAGCACAGAAGACTGGGTTGCAAGTCCAGTGTTTTAATTACAAGCAGGTAATCAACTTTTTAACAGAAAAATTCAGGGTAGGGCTGACCAAACTCAGAGATGGCTGTCTTCCTTTTGGAGGAATTTTCTTCCACTGCTGAAGCTTGTTGTTGTTTTTTTTTCATTTCCTTTTCTTTTTAATGTGGATACTGTCAATGAACAATGACCGAAACACTCATATGGTAAATACCCACAAACAGTTCTAGCCGCATCTGGGCTTCTTACCCTCAGGGGGTTTTCATTGAGGTATGGGGGTTCTCCTTCCACCATCTCGATAGCCATGATGCCCAGAGACCAGATATCCACTTTAGGGCCGTATGCTTTCCGCGTGACCACTTCAGGAGCCATCCAGTAAGGAGTTCCAACCATAGTGCTGCGCTTGCTCTGCTCTGGGGTGATCTGAGCACAGAAACCAAAGTCGGCTGTAGGATAACAGAATTTTAAAAAGTTAAATTGGTGCACCCCAAGTAAGTGGGCTTCCTACAAGACTCCTCTATTAATACACAGATATTTTACTCTTTCACACTTGGGGGGCTTGGGGGATGTCTCCTTTTTTTCTTCCCCCCCACTATATTCTCCATGGTACAGAATCCAACGTGCAAGATAGATACAAAACCTGAAGGTGTTTAAGCAGGGCAGATTTCCGTGGTATGAAGATAGGGCTTTTTTGTCCTCTGGAAAAGCAACACAAGTATTATCCTGTAGAAGAATGGTATTTTTGCCCAGTCTTCCAGATTCCTAGACTGAAAACAGCCAAAAAAAAAAAAATCCAGCAGAACACAGCAGGCAAGTGTTCTGTGCATGGCATGGTATACAGCCCGATCTAGAAAACAGAAATCCACAAACCACGGCTTCTGCCCTGCTAAACAGGTTTAATTTGTGCAGCTACCAAGTTCAACATTTCACAGCAATTTGCTCGCCAAATACAGGTACTACAGCTGACAGAGACATGGAAACAAGGCTTCAGGTGTGAAGTACTACCCCACTCAGCAGAAGGAACCTGGGCAAACGAACCTTTCCACAAGGTAACTACCAAAGAGAACAACCACACTCAAGAAAACAAGAAAAGTCACCTATTCCTATAGCCTTCAGGTGCAGCAGCAATGCATGTTCCATCATGTTACTTTATCCAGCTGCAGCACTCCCACTTCCCAGGCATGTAAAGCATCAATAAGAACACAGTTAAGGCAGGAGACAGATATTACCTTATCATTGACACTAAGTTTGAAAGAGAAAGAGAGAGAGAGAAAGAGAGAGAACGTAAAATTTTGAGTCAATTTTGAAAGCTTTATGCCACGCAGTGCTGACAAGAGAGCCACGGTCACGAAAACGCTAAGTTGTACCGAGGACAATTTAACAAAGAGCTGCCCCCAACTGTCAAGATGCTGCCTGGAAAAAAAAAAAATAAAGAAAGAAAGAAGTCAAACCTATAGCAGCCACCAAAGCCAGAGCTTCTTGGCCTTTATCAAGGTGTCATACTCAACTCAAAGCACACCTTAATTCAATGAACGCACCCGAGAAGCGGCAGCAGCGTATGGAGTGTATGGCTGCCAACCTACCACCGAGGCCTTCAGCACCATGCCACCAGCAAGGAGGGAAAAGGCAGGCAAAACGTAGAACCCAGTTTCACCAAGCAGGAGTGCGTGTAGGCATGTAGTGGTGACAGGCAGAGTGGCTCCTCTTACTTCTCCTGTCGCCAGCCTCCCAGAAGCCGTAATCCCCCAGAGAAGGGGAAGAGCTTCAAAACAAGGTGCAATCTTCTTCCATCCTCAACAACTGCTAGAAGCTCTATAATCACACAGCAAAAGAGCTACTCTCAACGCCGGTTACAATACCTCCCCTTCATGTAGGACGCTTTTACGGCTAGCTCCTGTTTTCTCCTGCCTCTCCTTCCTCCTTGTCCTTGCCCAATCTCCTGGGACCGATGCTTCTTTACATGGGCTGCTAACCCTGTCCTTTCGCCACTCTGCTTTGCTTTGACAGCTCTTATATTTTTGAGCCTTCTCCAGCTGACTCTTCTCAGCCGTATCCTCTACTGTAACTATTCACTTATCTTCAGCCTCTGAATCCACACAGTTTGTGCACAAACACATCACCCCCTTAAAAAAAAAAAAAATAATTAAAACCTCCTATGCAAGCAAGCAGTGCATCCAACAACGCTGGTAAGCAAACAGGTTGCTTGAAATCTTTTTTCACCCTCCATCTCATAACCAATATGAGACTGCAAACCATCTAGAGTAAGGGAAATTTCTAAGATACGTTTTCGTGGCATTTCAAATTCCAACCCGACTGTAAAAACACCATCCCTTAACTCTTTGGTCACTTTATGCTTTGCACATTCCTACAGACCAAGAAGTCAGATAATGCACCTCTCTCTCAACAGTTCTGACAGTTTCTTCATGTGGTTTCACATTTTTTTTATTGCCACACACATTTACACACACCAGAAACTGACTGTCTGTACACAAGTCCATGCATGCATAACAATTACCTGAAAAGCAAGTAGTTTCTTTTGTCATTTCATGATTATATTAATGAAAGTGCATAACACTTTCAGTCCAAGAAAAGGAGACCCAGAGCAGACTGCAATATAAACGGTTAATAATGTACAATGTTCTTATTAGAGGCCTTCTAATGAAAAGGGCAAAAGATGAAAAGCATGTCATGACAACCCGAAGAGACTAACAAAGCAACTGCAGTTAGCTGCAGCTTTTCTCTTGCAATCATTCGCATCTTTGCTTCACTGTGTGGTGCCAGTTACTTCCTATTTACCAACGTATTCATGTGGCAATGGGTTTGCTTCAACAGCCTTCCGGTCTAACGCGTTCAAAGCCTTAGTCTTAGGGCCCTCGGGATGTCAATACCCGCTACCTGCGAGCTATATATTTTATAACACCGAACAAATTTCGGTCACTCATAGTCAATAAAAATTCACCTCACATTTCCCTGCCAACTCTCCTTCTGCCGATTTACACTCTCCAAGTCAAAGTTGACCAGGAAAGGGAAAACAGAACCTTGAAACAATTGTCTGGTACTCACTTAGTTTAACCGATCCATCCATTCCTAACAGCACGTTGTCACTCTTAATATCTCTGTGGATGACCTGGTTGGCATGTAGGAACTCAAGTGCTTGCAAACACTGGATGGGAAGGGAAAAAAACCCCCACAATATTCAGCATATAGAAACACAATTTGCGTATATGAGTACAAATTCAAAAGCAATGCTTGCACCCTCAGCCAGTGGTGAGTGCAAAATATAACAGATATTATTTTAAATAACCAGCAGAGGAAGCTCTTGTGCTAAAAAGTACTCTCCAGATCTCATGAGGTCAACCATGATTTAACCATGGAGTTTCTCTGCTATCTTAACAAACCCATAAAACTCCTCACCACCCCGTCATCACCCAAGATGCTCTCAAAAATGTTAATTTTGGAACCTCCCACAAATACTCCAGAGGAACCATGTGAGAACTTTTTAGCCTGAAGTCTCCCCAGGAGGAATCGGTGGGACTTTGTTCTCAACACGCACGCAGCCTCTCCTGCAGTGAAGGCTGTAAACCATCTTCATTATGAAGTCACTAATCCCGTTTTTGCATTGCTTTTAGATTAAAACCTTTCACACTAAGTTTCTGCCTAAAAACATACTGAAATTCACTGTTGTTATTTGAGAATAAAAGGCAAAAAAAGAAAAGTAAGATTTTTCTCTTTTAATATCAGCAGAATATTTACCATTTGCAACTTGGCACAGATGCGGTCCCCAGTGAGTTTTTTGCATTTTCATTTGCTTTAGCAAAGTGGCACTGATTTGCAGAATCAAGTGTACTTAAGGTACTGGGCAGCAGAGTTTTGATAAAGTAGCATAGTTCAGTATTAGACTTCTTCCTCAAAAAAGTTAATTACTGTTACAGTAAACAGTTACTTTCGGTTCTCTGCTTCCAGCTCTGGTTTCTCAGGGAACCTTTACCTGCCCATACATGTTAATGTACAAGTTTGCTTTCCCTCCCCTCCCTTTTGGTGAGTCATCAAAAGCAGATGTCATATTGATGTAGTCAAATGGGGTTTTTAAAAGCCTACGTTTCTCCTGCACAGCAAATAACACAATTACTTCTCCTTCTGCCATAATAAATCAAGCCTGAGCTGGATGCTGGCACTCTGACTCAGAGCAGAAACCACTGATAAGCTGTGACATCAGCTATTTTTAACTCTTTCATTTAAAATCTTACCACAGTCTTAAAAATATTCCAAATACAATCTTTTGGAGAATTATTTTTCTGAGAAATGCATAAAGAAAGCTTAACTGTCACAGCACTATAGATTTTACACACTTTGAAAACTACTAAAATGAGAAAGGGATAGCCTGCATCAAGTTCATCTTTGGTTTAGTACATGTTTCTTAAAGTATTCCTGTTTCATCAGACTCACTTTCACGCTCTAAGCAAACACAGTTCCCTTTCTTCCTTCTGGAACACGATCCGAAGCTTTAAAGCTTTTTGCTTTTTCTTTTTTTAAATACGTTCACATCTCTACTTTCTACATTACCTATATATATATATATATATACACGAGTAGTCAGTTTTCTTTTTGGTGCCTTTGAACATTCTTTGTTAGTCAAAGTTAAAAAAGACATTCTTTCCAGCTGCTAAACTCCTTCATTGCTCTTACTTGAACCTCAGTCCACATTAGTAACCTCTCTCTGTTAACACTGTCAGTAGGACCAGGCAACGAATCTTTACCTGCTCCATCACCTAACATTCCCAAACACCCAGCTCAAAACTGCCATAGCTCCTGCACTACAATTTGCAAACCCCCAATTTTGAGGCAAACTCAATTTTGTTGTTTTCTGTAATTTTAATATTGATTTCTGCTCTCAGTATCATTCATTCTTCCTAACTCAATGGCTCCAACAGCAATCGTTGCAATTAGTCCTAACTTAAGTGTACCATAAAATCTATGGGAACAGAGTGTCCCTTCATTCCTGTACTCATCAACTATAATACTCACCTCTCTGCAAACAGCAGCAATCTGTGCTTCATCCATACATGTTTCTGTGACCACATCTGTTAGTGAGCCTCCAGCTAGATACTCCATCACCACAAACAATTCATCTCCGACGAGGTAACTACAAACAGAAAATGAAAAGCGTGCCCGTTTGCCATCAAGAGATCGAGAACTGAAAAATGACTGATAAGAGCTGGTCAATGAAATGATTCATAAGCACTCAAGACAAACAGTAAAGAAAGCAAAACTCTGGAAGGCAGCCTCAAATGTAAACACTGACAATAAAAGCTGTGTGCTTTTTAATACCTAAACGGGCAGGACAACACCCTACATATCTCACACACAAGTATTGATCCAGCTGTGCTCCTGTCCACCGCTGATCCACGTGCAGCACTGCGTTCGTGGCAGAAGGCAGCTCCTTACTGAATCATCAAGACCATTCCCTATAACAGGTGACCTTTTTCTTGCTTATGAGACCCTTAGGTACAGGCAGTCCTGGTCTGTGTAAGTATATCAAGTTAAAACCTCTATAAACCCCCAGGGATGAAGGAATCAGACAGTTCTCTGCATTTACCTGTCCAGGAAGTTGACTATGTTGGGGTTCTTTAGCTCCTTCATTACCAAGATCTCATTAATAATCAACTCCTTCTTGGGCTGCTTCTGCAGGTTTATCTGTTTAATAGCAACCTGAATAGGACAAAATAAAACAGCAATCACTCAAACCCGAGTGTCATTCTTAATACAGTGAAAAGTTAGAAGAAATTCTGTAACAGGATTAAAGGAGTTTAGCACAGCTTGCAGCTGGCAACATATTTATTTATTAGCATACGACTTAAAAGAATATGGCTTGAGGAGCATACAACTGGCACCCATAGCCAACATCATCCTCTTGCAGCTGAAAAGATCCACAACAATAACAAAGGCCAGAACAGACAGCAAAGGAGATAAGATACTCGCCCGATTTCGCATCAACAGGCCTAAGGCAGAAGAGTAGCAACTATGAGTGATAGCATAAGCCTTCCAACGCAAGGCAGGGAAATTCGGTTTTGTATCTTCTGACCAAAGCAGTGTTTGGGTATAAGCAATGCTGGGAGGCAGAAGGAATTGCTCTCAAAGCAATTAAACCAAAGAACTATCCCAGAGAGAAAAGGGAAGCTAAAGACCTATTTTATCCTGGTTAGCTTAATGTCCTGGACAAGTATTCCAAACTTGAAAAGGGAGAAGAATTCTCCCAGTTATGCTAGCTGCAACACTTTGGGGTGGCAGCTGGGAGTTTTACAAGATAACCTACCCATGAGTCCAAAACCAAAGGCAAGAACCAATATAATCCCGTAGAAACAATTGCTACCATATTGCCAAGGGCATTAAGAGAAGAAAACTTGTGGCACAGAATGACAAAATAACTAAGGTTAGAGGAGACCTCTGGAGGTCAACTGGTCCAATCCCTTGCTCAAAGTACAGCCAACGTGGAGCAGGTTACTGAGGGTCTTGTGCAACTGAGTTTTGAATGGAGATGTCAATGAGCCAATATTCCACAACCTCTCTGGCCTCCTCTCCCATGTTTGACCATCCTGACCACAAGGGAAAAAGAATTTCTAATACCTAACCGAAATTTCCCTTATGGCAATTTTTGGCTGTTACCTCTTGAATAGCTCCAAGAGTAGTCTAGCTCCGTATTCTCTATGCCTTCCTGCTAGGGAGCTGAAAATGGCAATAAAATCCACCCCGTTGGCCTTCTTTTCTTACTGCTGAACAGCCCCAATTCTATCCTCAGACCTTAAGCACCGAGGAAGCCGGAATACCGCATCCATTTAACACACGAAGGCAGACACTGCAAGCAACCAACACTTAGCCCACCTGCCTGACAAGACGCAGAGGAGGTCTAAGAAAGGAACTGGATTACAAACTTTAGTCTGCAGTCTGTAAGAGGACACAAAGTACTGCAGCATGTAGAAAGCAAATTAAGAGACAATATACTGAAATGATCGAAAAACCTGAATTTTATCACTATGTGATGATGCACTACAGTACCGTAAATGTGGTTACTGTTGAAAGGGTAATTACTGACCAGTGACCAAAGGAATGGCTACTTGCGGACCTTTAAAGGAAAATTAAGGACATCTGAATTTAAAGAGAAGCAAGTAATTCCTAAACTTTTAGTCCCAGGAACCAGAGATGAGCACTGGATGACACACATGCAGAGTATTGCTGATGTCATCAACTTCATTGGGCGGGTTCGGAGACACCAAAGAGTAAAAGCAAAGAGCAGGATGCGGAGAAGGCATTCTAACCACGACAAAGAATCATATGGGACAAGCGGTTTCCATACAGAGAGGCGCATCCATCACCTCCACCGAGACAGGACTAGAGAGCGAGTGCGCGAAGACTAAACAAAGTTTTATTTCTGAAAATGCAGGACTCCACTGCCCAGAATTCTTGAAGGATAAACCGTTTTCAAACCCCATTTCTGGAACACCTCGCTCCCTCTGCTTTCAGTGGAAAGACAAAACTCTATTTTTAGCTTTCATCATCTGATTACTACAGAACAAGGCACACACTGTTTCAAATGATGATGACAAACATTCTTCTGGGAGGTGATAGCAGAGATGGGACCCACAGAAAGAAATCTAGTCAAATCATTTTGGCCACCTACAGAAGAACATTTATACAGAAAAAGTATTTTCATGGCAATGAACACAGTAATCTTACCTCCTGCCCTGTTGCCACATCAATAGCTGTGAAAACTGTACCTGAAGCCCTGTGAAGAAAAACGTTACAGCCGGTAACAAACACGCGGGTGAACAGACAAATCACAAACACAAAATCGTGTCAGCTTTCCATGTTGCAAGAGCTTTATCAGAAAGACGTTAAGAGCGAGGGTAGCGTAGAAATGCCAGTCGGTTCACACAGAACAAACTAATCTCAAATACGCTGTCTTCTGAGAGCCCAAACCATGACACACCAGCTATGCCTCTTGCATTCAGGATGCCCAGAACTTACGCTGCTCCCTATGATGGGATAAGCTGGGCAGCCCTGTCTGTAGTAGGTATTACTTTTCATATTCTCCCAGGGGAAGCACACCCAGAAACGCATACAGACCTACGTAGACAGTATAGAGCAGGAGTTAGGAATATATAGCATCAAAGCTGGAAAAGCCAGAACTTCTTTCTATATGTTTTTTCCCCAGAAGGATTCAGAGGACCACTGGAAGAATAACTCAGTCGAGGCAGTATTGCTAGCTGAGCATACAGAGAGCCTTCTGACATGCCCTCACGCTATTCAGCGGTCATATTACAAAACGGATGAACGCATCTTATCGGGAGAGGAGAGGACTAGATACACCCACAGGGAAGTTACAGCGCTACACTTTTGCATTCAAAGACACATCTCGAAATTTCCACTGCTGTATAAAGCCTTCACCGCCTTTTTTTTTTTCCCCTGCTTAACACAGCCAACATTTCTGCTTGCTTCAGTAAGCAGTCACTACACGACAGTTGCAGAACAAGAACCACTTTTAGCACTGACACCCTGAGAATAAAAGTTGGGGTGAACACTTACCCTTGCCCGATTTTTTCATATCTGGTGTATTTTTTCTTGGGGTCTCCTATGCTCACAATAGTGCCTAAAAAAAAAAAACAAACCCAAAAAAACATTTCCACACAAAATCTTTGAGGAGTCACAGCTTTAGGAAACGTTCTTTGCTATCGTAGCACAGCATACGCTGTTTCTGTCTGAAAACACACACGGATCCTGCTGTCCCCCTCTAGGAGGGCTGGCTTGGCCAAGGTACCTCCAAGAGTGGGTCAAGCTCAAGGAATGAAGGCTGATGCATGACACGGCCAAAGCTTCCTGATTCAGTTCCAGTGGCAAACGGCCCCACCTCAGACAGATCATGCTACTTCCCAGTAGCATCTCAATTTAATGAGTCTTCTGCGTAGCAAACCCAGTATGAGGTTATGACAAATCCATTAGCTTAGCCAAGTCTAGAAACTAGTCAGATCTCGACTTAAGCACAGGAACGTGCATACATGGTGAAAAACTATTTCAAGATGATTATGGACCAAGCAAAAGCAGAAACTATTTTGTGTTATTATGGTTGTATTATACGCACAGATCACATTATCAAACTAAACTTCAAGCCAAAAAACCTGTTCTACCATTCTTTTTACCCAATAGGGCTCTGATGCATATAAATCAGCACAGCTCCTGAATGCAGCGCCCTCAGCTACTGTCTGACACAAACCCCATCAAGCACAGTACTCACACAACCCTTACACAAAAATAAGGATGAGGGCAAAAAGTTACTATCCCGTCTCCAGTCTTAAGACCTGTATTTATCTGAAATAAAAAACACCTACGTAGTTTTTCCATGATCTCTTCATCTGACATTTTGGTCTTCTTTTTCTGCTTATCGCCCGATTTCGTCGCACTGTCAACAGAAGTGTCACTGGCTGGTGCAGGGATGGGGTCAATTACAGACCGTGTATAAATCTGTTGAGAGAGAGCAATTACCTGAGCATTTTCTTTGCAGTCATTGACCTTCAGCTGAAAACAATCACAGTTCTTCCAAGATCCCCAAGCACCATTTTTACATAAGAGGTTGGGGGCAGAAATGAGATTTGAGAAACATTAAAAGTCCAGCAAATCAAGACGCTGGCAACCTTACTGACCTCCAAAACAACCCAGCCACCTCCTGAACATCACGGGTGCCAGGAGATTAACTCTTAACTTTCACAGACCAACTTTTTGTGGTGTTTCTGCCTTATTCTTTACAACCTACACTAGTTAACAGGAGGGGCCCTTTCACGTATTTTAATTTCTGCGATTTCCAAGTTTCACAGAAGTCACTGTTTAATAGCAAGATCAACTAAGTTCTAAAGGACAAAGATTCATGCTTCACCACGAAAGACAGCATGACATTTTTGGAATTTTGAAGTCAACCCCAATTTGGGGGATCTTCTTGGAGCTTTATTTAATTTCCTCTCCTCACAGACATACAAAGCTACCCTAGAAATATCAAACTGTAGACCTGTCACATTTTATAAGTTTACATACCCAGAGCAGGCAATTATAAAGCAGTATCACTTGACAAATACACACAATTCACATTTGCATTCCTGAAGCAAAAATAAGTGGGCAGAGTGGCAAAATGTACGCGTGACACACTCAAAAAAATGAGCTGGAATAAGTGGGATCCCTGCGACATTATTAACATGGTGTGTAATTCAGGACGACTACACTGAAACTTAACGAACAACTTCTTAGGCATTTAACTTTTCATGCAATGCTTATGACTTTGTGAGTGAAATAAGCTTTCAAATCTTAAATTTGAATTGTTTTGGGTTTAGGTAGTATATTTGGTGAGGCTATCACACTGGAATCGAATAAAATAATCAAACACGCTATGCTTGTACCACTGTACTGTGCGAAGTTACAGAAACTACCTGTATTTTTTTAGGACTAAAAAGCCCCCTCTTGCACCCTGGGTTGAAAGATAGGCTTAATTGGATGTCTTCAACACAAACCAACAAACAAATCAGCATTAACTTCAGGATTTCTGATCCAATGGCTATCCAGAAATTAGGAGGCATTTTCTTAGTAAGCTCAAATAAAACCCAGAACTTTTCCCTGAAACTTACAACAGCTCATTTCACAAATGGAACACTTTGCTAGAAAACAGAAGTAGAAAAAGTCCTACAATACTGAGAAATGCAGGTCTGCACTGTAAGTTCTACAGCTGCTCACCGATTTTGTGTGATCTGGCCGCGGAGCAATAACAGGAGGAGGAGCTTCTTCATCATCCTCATCATCATCTGCCACAGCTGTTGATGGCTCTGAACCTTTGGCATTGGTCTACATTTTTACCCAATTTGAAAAAAAAACAAAACATAACAAAATTGTCTCCCCTACAGTGTTAAAGACTTGCCTCCCCCCCCACATGAAGATAAAAGAATTCCTACTGATGTCAAAAGAAAAGGATAGGTTGAGTGGTTTAAGTGCCCTATTATATTTTATTACAAGACTAAAATACTATTGCTCCAGAGAAATACGCTCTGTTGACACCCCAATCTACATTTTTATTCCACAAAAAATTCTCATTTTGTTTTATACTGCAAGACTCAGTATATAACAAATACAGAAGACCTGAACTTGTACGTGCCTAAGAAGACAAAACGAGTAGTAAACATACTCACCGTTGGTGTTCCTGAAGGGAAACCATCTTTTTCTAAATAGGACAAATAGCAGAAATACATAAAAATCATCAGCAAAATTTTAATAAAAAGTGAACTTTACAGAGTAAAGAATACAGACCACTTTAGAGATCTTTTTTATCTCTCAAAGAAAAATGTCATGGTCACAAATGAGGAAAACCCAGTATTGCACTCTAAGTCCATGCAGAAGGAAGTTTTTAAAATCCTCCCCCTCTAAGGGCAAGCAAACCCACTAATTTCCCAACTTGTTCTTCACCTCACTCGAGTACTCACACACAGTTTTCCAAATCAAGCACTGCTCGTCACACTTATTTGTTCTGTCTTACTGAGGTGCGAAATCAGGATCAAACCGCTATTTCTGTTCCCTTAGTGGCATCTTGAATCAAGGATGAGTATATTACAAAGCCTTATTACTAAGCTATTTTCAGACATAATTTGGAAGAAAACTAGGTAAAACCACATCTATTTGTAGGACAGTCATTCTCTCAGCCGCCCCACACATCTCTCGACTTAAGAGCCACAACTTATTTTGCATCTTTGATGTCACCACATGGTGACATCAAGTTCGCAGATAGCTATTTTGGCCACAGACAGGAGGAGTGAGGTCTCCAGCACAAAACCAATTAATCAGAGTCTCCGAGCCCCAGCTTCGTAAACACAGCCTGTCAAAGTTAATTTTGGCTGCTATTTGGAATTATCCAGCTCCGTTTCTTCCCCTCCCCACTTGAAACAGGAAATTATCTGGACAACGCCAGTTTCCAGTAAGTTTTAAATCCATCTTCAAATATCTGTTCTTCATTGCTTGCTCTTTCAGCACTCAAATCTGATTTATTATTCTGAAAGAGGAAGACTGTGTTCCAAATACCCAACTCCCCTTCAATATGCCTTGCACACACTTGGTCTCACCTGGAGCAGAAAAACTCAGATACTTCTGTTTTGCTGTGTCTTTGGAGTCATAGAATTTCAGCACGTCTAGTACCGCCTGGGGGTTTTTCTTCTGTTCTAGCTTTGTGATATTTGAGGTCTGCAGCAACCGAGCCCATTGCTCTGGCATTCCCTAAAAAAAAACCAGGCTATTTTAAGCATCCTTCTATTTTAAAGATTTTTTTTTTTTTAAAAGCAGAACAAATTTGTTTCTTCTACAAAAAGCATAACACATACAGCCTTAAGCACATGAACAAGTAGGATGGGGTTTTAATGGGGAGCTATACGCCTATAGGTGATACAACACAAATCAAGGCACAGCTGAAATCCCTCCTGACTGCTCAATACCTGAAGCACTCAGGGGCTCCAGCCCCCCGTGTCGACGTGACGTCACCCCCGTCAAGTGTATTAAGTCAGATGTGAGGAATGGGAATACAAAAGCACTCAACAGAACCAGTGTTACTAAACTGAAGAGGGTTTTTCTCAGGGAAGGCTCTCTGAGGTGGCACCAACCGTTGGATCTGACATTTACACTGAAGAAGCGCTAACGGGTCACAGTCTCATTACTCTGTGTGTTGTACAAATACACGGTGAAATTATTTCTTTGATAAAAATGAGCAGACCAGCTCGCACTTCATTCAAAAACACCCCAATGGCTTCACTACAGCACTGACCCACAGCTATTTCCCGAGCAACTTCAAGGCAGATATACTTACAGTGAACTCTCCAGTAACAGCATCAAAGCCAACATGGATGGTATGCTCAAAATCTGACGGTGGGGAGATTTCTGGCCTTTCCTTCTCCTTCTTCTTGCTTCCTGAAAGAGACATTCAAAGATCGACTGAGCAAAGATTTAAAGTCCGATTATCTCTATTGAATATAATCAACCCAAACATTACAACAGTTAGGATGAATGTAACCATTATTCTGTTTACTGGATGAAGGTCTTTGCATACGCAGCACAGTGATTTGGTATTTTCAAGTTGGTATAGACGTCACGTGAGAATCAACAACTCGCTCCAGTCAAATCATTCAAAATATGGTAGCAATCAAGTAAGAGATTCAGAGCACCATAGCGTGTGGAGCTCCGTTGAGCGTATGAAATCTAAACATATGAAGCATTTACAATGCAAAAAAAGGACATTTTAATATGGATTAAGAACAACCCTGAAGACAACTTCAGCTCAACCTCAAGTTCACCCTAAAGACAGTTAAAGCTCAGTTGCCTCACTGCTTCAATTCGAGGTAATTAATGCAAACTAGGACTTCCTGTGATGAAGATAAGAATTTATAGCCTCAGAGCAACTACCTAATTTAAATTAAAAGGGAGGAAAAAAAAAAAAAAAGAAAGCAAGCATAATAAGTACCAGAAGCAGGAACAGATAATGAGAAGGACATTGTGCATAATCCAACCTAGATGCAATTAAATTATTAACATGCTTGACAATGCCTGGGGCTTGGGATTTTGGGGTTATTTTTATTTTTTCTGACAAAGAGAAAATAAATAAAAATGGAAGACAATTAGCAGTCAACTCTAAACATAAAACAAAGCATTCTGTTCCCTTTACCCAGAAAAGGTCTGGAGTTAAGCGGGAAGGTTTCAGGAACCTGTTTTCTTGTTCTTGCAAAAACGCCCCAGCCCTGCTTCCTTTCCCTGCCAGAGCGGAGGAGCAGCAGTACCCGCCGTTTGCTCTCCAGGCACACGGACGATGCTCCCGGCCTCCTCTCACAGCCCTCTGCTGAAAGGCAGAGGCCCGGCAGCGAGCTGCGCAGCGCGTCTAACCTGATACGGAGAAAACTGCCTGGGTAATCCTGGGAACTCACCGAGCGTACAGCTGAATCAGCGGCATTTGTTATAGCCTGCACGAAGCCAGCAAGAATGCCACGGTGCTCGTAACCATAAAGGAAAGCAGCACGCCACTTTGCAATCTGACTTGATTACCGTTTTATGTTTCTATGTCCAAAAAAAAGGGTTTTCGCTTTGTTTTTGGATTCACCTCAAAAGTCTAAGTCCTGTAGTTTCAGCACAGAAGAAAAACAAGCTAACTGAACACGGGGCAAGTGTAGATCGCGCTGCTCAGAGCCAGAGAATCCGTCTGAAATCCCCTTACGCTGGCGGGAGAGGAAGGACGGGGAGCCGAGGACAATACTTACAAACGAAAAGCCATGTGGGCTGCCTCCAGCTGAACAATGCAGTGGAAAGACACGGCTATTATAAACAGGATATCTTTAATATGGCTGCACAGGTCAGAGCCAAAAAGCAAACGGACTGTCAAAGGTTCTCATTAACATTGTTCAGTCACAAGACAGGAGAGAAACTTGCTTATGTGAAAATATTTAAGGAAAGTACTGTTTCTTCCCAATCTCTTGCAGTTGTTTATGTGAAAGCAAGGGAGGGGGGAAAAAAAACCCAACAAAGTTGTATTCCTCAGGAAGGTTCCTGTTCGGGAGCACTTGACATGTAGGGAACAGGAGCTGGTGCCCAAACCCTCCAGCATGTGCTGCTGCTCAAATAAACCCACGCCTTCCCAAAATACACACATCTTATTAGCAGGCTAGGCCAGGAGATGCAAAATCCCTCCTCTGCCCACAGGAGCAGCAGATCAGAGTGGCACTTCAAAGGAAGGCAAGCAGCGAGCTTCAGTCCAGAGGCAAGTCCCGCGAGTCCCATGTTGGCCAGACGTGCCCGAGGCTCTGCGAACAAGGCCACCGCGAGGCTATGCTGCTTTTCAACCTCTCACCAGGTTTGCACCACGGTTCTGTAGCTAAACGGGAATCCCTTTAGCAAAGGGCAAGGCTTGTTTCAAACAGCAAGTAGAATGGAAGACGTGGACCCTCAGCCCCGCAGAGACAGCAGCATACAGGCCCCCGTTCCTGCGAGAGGGAAGACGCAGGTCCTTGAGAAGGATTCAGTGAATTAAGAGAATTGCTCTGTCTGATTATGAATCACAGAATCTCCTAGATTGGAAAAGCCCTGTAAGGTCATCTAGTCCAATCACTAACCTAACACTGCCAAGCCCACCACTACACCATGTCCCTGAGCACTATATCTACACAACCCTTAAATACCTCCAGGGATGGGGACTCCACCACTGCCCTGGGTAATGCGTTCCAATGCCTGATGACCCTTTCAGTAAAGAAATTCTTCCTAATATCCAATCTAAACTTCCCCTGGCGTAAATTGAAGCCATTTCCTCTTGTTCTATCACCTGTTAATTGACAGAACAGGTCGACTCCCACCTCTCTGCAACCTCCTTTCGGATAGTTGTAGAGAGCGATAAGGTGGCCCCTCAGCCTCCTCTTCTCCAGGCTAAACACCCCCAGGTCCCTCGGCCGCTCCTCATAAGACATGCTCCAGACCCCTCACCAGTTTTGTTGCCCTCCTTTGCACATGCTCCAGCACCTCAGTGTCCTTCTTGTGGTGAGGGGCCCAAAACTGAACACAGTACAAGAAAGTGCCTCGAATACACTTGGACGCTTCTCTTCCCCAACTGAAGCCACAGGCACTCAGCAAAGGCGTCACCCAAGGGAGTTCACACACCCTCCTGCATCGCAAACCCATCCCTCAAGCATCCCTCGCTCCCCACCAGCCAACCTCCATACACAAAGCACAACGCGCAGATGTTTCCAACAGCCCGGCTGCAGTAGGTCGGTGACTCCAGACCATACGCTCTGAGTTACCGAGCCCAAACCACACCAAAATCTGCCCTGAGGATGTCACACATATGGTACTGGGTCCCACAGCGATGCCCCACAGCACCTCCTTTAATAATTTCTGCTCTAAGACAAACATTTCTTGTTTTAGGGAACTATTTTAAAGCTTTCCAAAAAACACAGGCAGGTTCATTTGACTTCAGAAATCTAGCCAAGGAAATTCACGGCAATTAAGTACTCTAGTAAAAAGATGACTATCACTTCATTTATCCTAAACAATGGAACTAGGGGGGAAAAAAAACCCAACTCTATGACTAGGTAATTAAACAAACCCTTCAAACTCATGAGTGTTTTCAGCACAGAACTAGCTCAGACTTGGGGCAGAAACTCTGCACCGTCTGCAGCGCGTCCCCCAAAGCACAGCACCTCCCCAATGCCATCTCCTAAGCCAGAGAAACCTCCCAGGAGAGGACCCAGTGGGGGACAGAGCTGTGGCCACAGGTGGGGTGAAGCTGGCCAGGAGGGACCATCCGGACATCGTATGGACAGAGATCTGCTGAACAAAGCCAAACAACGTTATCCAGTGACAAGTCAATTCACAATGGCCTTGTACATCTCCTGGTAAGGCATCCCTTCATTTTCTGAAAAGGAGAATTTACCATTTTTGCAGTAATTTAACTTTGGCACCGAGTGGAGAAATTTTTCCCCCGCGAAAAAACTTCTACCCCAGGCTGACAGATTATTTTGCATCCAGTCACAATATATTTTCTTAAAATCCAAGCAGGAAGTTAGTATTTCTGCAAAGGGTCCCAGCAGCAGAATTAAAAAAAAAAAATATCTATATTTAAATGGGCATTTCTGGTGAGGGTGTGCCTCAGCTAATGAATAAAACGGCTAACATCTGACTATTGCCATTTATATTGACATTTGTATTCTGCTTACATGATAGCCAGTTTTGCTGTCTTGAGGGCCGCAAACATCTCTTTGTATATTTACATTATCCTTGCTGCACATCAACCAATCCACAATTTTTCCAAATTAAAAAGAGACAACTTTCAGATAGTTTCTTCAAGCTAGGTAATTCAATTACCATTTTTCCTAACCACATTATCTTGCTGTGCAGTAAAACCTTCTGCTTTTCTTCAGAAGGACACCGCTTTAAATACTTTTTAGCATCTAGAAAACGTAAACTGACGCCATTTTCTTTAAAATGTACTTTTCTCAGCAGAAATGATTTCTTCCATTTTTAGTTTGCATCACAAAATATCAGTAGGTATACAGACACATGCTGAACAAGTATGCAGATTAATTGCAAAAAAATTTGGTACACGTCAGTATTTACGGAGTGGTCTGAATAAGCTTAAGTAATGGGACGCTGAAGCAATTTTGGATGAGCCAATACAACTGTAGACAAGTTTTCAACCACCTCCCTGGCCATTTCAGCAACAAACCAACCCACTGTCAAGATGGAAAGAGGAAACATCCAAGGAGAAGTAAAGATGCTACAAAAATGTCACAAATCTCTCCAGATGCACTGCACCCCCTCGCATTCATAAGTCGTTTCACAACATGAGGCTTACACAGTATTACTAATTCAGAGCAAGGAAGGTCTTCCTTCATGTGAGGTTTATGTTCTACTTCATTATATTGTAATGAACTTCAACAAGGGCAAGTGTAGGGTCCTGCACCTGGGAAGGAATAACCCCGTGCATTGGTACAGGTTGGGGGTGACCTCCTGGAGAGCAGCTCTGCAGAAAGGGACCTGGGAGTCCTGGGGGACAACAGGATGCCCATGAGCCAGC